CTAGACATAATCTCCCAGATAAAAGAAGAAATGATAAAAGTAATGAAAGAGAGGCTGAACACATCTAAAGAAGACACAGTTAAAAAATTAGAGGAACAAAACAAAAAGAATCCCTGAATGAACAATATAAGAAACAAACAGAATACATAAAACAGATTCAAAGAAATACACAGGAAATCAAAAATTCCATTGAAAGTTGTCAAAACTGCCTCAACAAAAGTGATGACAGAATTTCAGATCTCGAAGACAAGACTATAGCTAGTGAACAGGAAAGATCTCTTAAAAATAACAAGGAATCAGGAAATAACAATTCAACAGCTGCAAGATGATTCAAAGAAAAATAACATAAGATTGATAGGGATAAATGAAAAAGAAGGGGGCAACACAAATGATATCAAGAGACTATATACAGAAGTAATAGCCGAAAATTCCCAAACATAAGAATGGAAACTAACATTAGGATTAGTGAAGCTTATAGAACTCCAAATAGCCATAACCAAAATAAAACTATACCCAGACATATAATAATCACCATCCCAGAAATCCAGCATATACAAAATTTTTAAAGACTACAAATATAGAAAAAAGGCTATTTGGAACCTGGAGGTGTAGCACAGTGCTAGAGCATATGCTTAGCATGCATGAAGTCCTTGATTCAATCCCCAGTACCACAAAGAACAACAGTTATCAATCTTTACTGACTTAAAAAAAAAAAAGAAAGAAATCAGAGACTCAAAGAGAAAGAAAAGATTAACTAATAAAGACTGGGTACAGTGGTACATACCTGTAATATCAGCATTTAGGAAGCTGCGGCAGAAGCATACACAATTCAAGGCCAATCAGGACTAAAGAGCAAATTCAACACAAGCCTGGAACACATAGCAAGACCCTACCTTAAAAGTAAATCAGCTGGGTGTTGTAGTATATGCTTGTAATCCCAGAATTTGAGAGGTGGGAGGATTACCATGAGCGCTAGGTCAGTCTGGGCTACAGAGTGAGTTCAAAGTCAGCCTGACCTGTATAGGCAGTGAGACCCTGTCACTCACAAATAAACAACGACAACAAACAAGGAAACCTGAACATTTAGGTCAGGTGGGTTCTTAACCTATCACTTTGTTTTTCCAAAGCCCATCTTAGTGGTCTAGAAGCTTAAATCCAAATCTTGACTCCGTAGCCCTGTACTAAACAAGGATAGGAAATACAGACAACACACCTGTCAGTTAAAATCATTTCTATAACAATTTGTTTGTGGTATTGGATATTAAACCAAGTGCCTTCTTACTGAGCTACATTCTCATCCCCTTTTTATCTTTTGAAACAGGGTCTCTCTAAGGCACTAACTTGTCAAAGACTGGGCTTGAACTTGAGATCCTCCTGTCTCAGCTTCCTGGAGTTTTGGGATTACAGCCTTGAGACGCCACACCTGACAGATGCAGTTGGCCACACAGACAAACCTACCACATGGTTAAGCTTATTCTTACTTGTGCAAAAGGAAAGACAAAAGAAGAAAAAGTATCTACTAAAACAGCAGAAAATGTTTCTGAGTCACATTTGCTTTTCAGAAAAGAACTGAACCACAGAGAAAAAAATATTCACCAACATTCTATGACATTCACCAATATCAAAAGTTTTGAATGACCCTCAAATATGGGATTACTCAATAAAGTTAGTTTCTGGATCGTTTCCCTGTTAGGAGTCCTCTGAAACCCCCAAAACTTTTGATTCTTAAGTTTCTATTTTTCTATTATCTCCACTCTAGCAAGTGTTTCTTTTATATTACACATTCGCCTTCCTTCATTTAAACAATTAAATCACAAATTCATAGTTAGCTCAAACACTACCTCATGTTGCTTATCTATATGAGGTGACGCAAATGCCAAAGTCCAAGGTCCCACTGCCTTTTAAAGGTCAAGGCTACAATAGGCTGGCTTGCTCTACAGGAAGTTTATCCCCCTGCTCAGAAATGGGTGTTTTTATCCACCAAGGACCGGGAAAGAGTCTAGATGGATCATCACAGACTTATTCTCATTGCTGAGAAATCTCAAACTACATCCTATAGGATAATTCAAAAAAAAAAAAAAAAAAAAACTGGGCTGGGATGTAGCTGGTGGTAGCATCCTTGCCAAGCATGCATGAGGCTCAGCTTTGATCTCCAACACTGAAAAAAAAATTACATGGAAAGTAATTCAAGCAGCACGTGAATTTCTACACTGTTCACCAAGGATAACTAGTAAACAATACATATAATGTAAGCCTTAATTAACAAGCTGAAATCATGACAAAAATAAGAGAAAACACAGTAAAAAATGTGGGCCAAAAATATCTTTGGCTCTCTTCTGCCCCCCAAATTATGAGATTTAGCAGATTCAAGTAGATATCCCTGTTCCTAAAAGGTTAAGAAGTGTGGCTAAAAAGTACATTATAAGTGATTCTAAAAAGTCTTCTAGGTCTAAAGGTGATTCTCTCCCCTCCTTATTCTCAAAGGCAAACTAAAAAAGCCACTGCTTGTGTACAAAACCCAGCAAGACAAAACCTTTTCTCTTCCAGGGCAGAGGTAAGAACTATCATGCAGCTGAGCACTCCTGAGTACCAGTCCTTTGCTCAGTGCTGTATTAATAACCAGTGCCAATGGGGTCCCTGTGATGATGAGAACACTGCCGCCCTACAGATGTTACATGTGGGGTACTGGGGTACTTTCTGAAACGTCCTTTCTTACACAGGACAACCTTAGCTCAGAAAGCCACGGTAAGCCCAATGAATCAAAGGGAGACCTATAGGACTCCAAAACTTCCTGCTCTTTCCTCTTGGCCTTATGTTGCTCATGGATCTGTTTGTCCTTCTAAAGAACTAAATATAACAGGTGAAACCCAAAATAACAGCATTCATGGAGGTAGGTGAGTGTGGCTCAGTGGTAAAGTACTTGCCTAGTATGGGCACTGAACCTAGGACCTTTGCACTGAGCTACATACCTAGCCTATTTTTTTTAATTAAAAAAATTTGAGACAAGGTAAGTGTTGGTTGGAATTTGTAATCCTCCTGCCTCAGCTTCCCAAAGTACTGGAATTACAAGTGTGCACCACCATGCCTGGTTCCTAACCCTCTTTATCATTTTATTCTGAGAAAGGCGCTCATTAAATTGCTCAGGCTGGGTAAAAAGTTTGTAATCTTGCTTCAGCTTCCTGAGCAGCTAGCATTATGGGTGCATACCATGCCTGGCCACAGATTCCTTTTATCTAAACTATGCTTTGACCTCTCAAACTTGGCTCCCTCCAGCCTCTGAACCTTTAGAAAAAATGCTCATCTTTCTGGAGCATGCCACCACTGCCACAAAGCTCATTTCCAACTCTCTTTTACCTCTTGGTGTAACATTCTCTTCCCCAGAGGACCTAGAATAGGTCAATGTCTGACCTTCCACATGGCCCATGCTTTATTGAACACACTTGTCTCTCCTCTTAGACTGTACACTCCATGAAGCAGCATCTCATTTGGTCCCTGCTGTACTGTCAGCACTTACCTCGGTGCCTAGTATGAATGCAGTCAATAAACATCTGAGTGCCTCAAGTGTGTCGACAGTTCTAGGCACTGAGGATGAACTACAGACCTCTGGCACTATAAAGGGAAATAAGATACTAATGAGGGCAGGAGTATAGATAAAAAGAAAAATGGGTCAGTACTCTTCAGAACAAGAGAGCAAGGAAAGGGTTGGGGATGTAAGAGTTACTTTTAAATAAAATGGTGGAGCAAAGCACCATTAAGAAATTTTGAACAACCCCTTGACAGATGTTAGGTAAGGGAATGTGAATCACCACCTGGACAAAAAGCCATCCAAACACAGAAAGAGTCCTCACTGGAGATGCCACAGTGCCTCCCACTTTGATGCTCTGGAAATTCTCTAAATGACTTAACTAAGCTTAAAGGTTTTTCCGAACATCACTTCTACCACTTTTCAGCTGGATGAAAGCGCTGCTAGAGCTGGCAGTGCTGGTGCACACTTGTAATCCCAGCTACTTGGGAGGCTGATGCAAGAGAGTTACACGTTTAAGGCCAGTTTGAGCTATTCAGACTCTGTTTCTAAATAAATAAATAAATAAATAAATAAATAAATAAATAGGCAGTGAATGCAGCTCAGTAGCAGAAGCGTGTTGTCTAGTATGCTGACAGGCCTTGGGTTTACTCTTCAGAACTAGAAAAAGAAAAAGAAAAAAGAAAAAAGAACTACTATAATATACAATTTGGCAAACCTAAACATTCTTTTTTCTTTTTCAGATGAAAAACAACATAAAATAGAGCACTTGATAGGCAATGAAATAAGTGTCCACTCGACCTCAAGATTCAACTAAGATGAGGTCCATGTTCTGGTAACCAGAAAATATGATTTCCTTGGAACTCTCATATTTAGGGGACTAGGAATTGAACCCACTGTGGAGAAAACCCATTCTCAAACTCAAGCTCTTGCAGCTATACTCTGGGGCAAATCAGAGTTGCTCCCCAGCCCTACCCCTGCTGCCACGCAGTCCTCCAGCCAGGCAGATACAACACACAGACCTGTACACAGTCACACAGCAGCAAATAAGCACAATGGATCGCTGAAGATGAGCCGAGAGACGTTCATGTTTCCCACTTGGCATATGTACTAAACATTATAAAGGAGTTAAGTATAAAGTAAAGAGAGGCCAGCAGCAAATAAAAGACAAACCCAAATGTTAACACAACAGAAAGATCCTGAGCCACAGACATCATCAAGAACCAAAGAGAACTGGGATACAAACAGAGGATACAGAAGCTCCTACCCCTAAAAATGTACCTGTGTGTCAGAGTTCAGGTGTCCAAAACAAGAGAGAGCTAAAAACCAGGGCCTATGAGCATCAGTGGCCTGGAATTCTCCTAATACTGCTCCACAAGTAGATGTTAAAAAAAAAAAAAAAAGAAAGAAAAGAAAGAAAGTAAGAAAGAAAGAAAAGGCATGGTAAATAGTAAATATAGATTGACTAAAGTCACTATTTAAGATACAGACATTCTCATGCAGACTGGAGAAAAAGTCAATGTGTATCCATCTGCTACTCATAAGACACATCTATAGCTACTTGGAAAGGGTGGGACAAAAGGATGGACAGAGATGTACTGGACAAATACTAACCAAAAAGGGAAAACCTCAAAATAAATTACGTTAAACTAGACAAAAATGAATTCAAGACAAAAAACAAAACAACAGACCACTAATTAGGACAACAGCATTAAACTATGCAAGGTAAAACTTAATAAAATGCAAAGAAAATCAGTAACTACATAACCACAGAACAAGGTAAAAACAGGTATCTTAATTACAAACTCATAGATCAAACAAACAAAAATAATCAATAAATATCTAGAAAATTGGAACCACATATTTACAATAAACCTTCAGAACCCTATATTTATCAACTAAAAAATAAATTTCATAACATACTTGGAATATTTACAAAAACTAAGTCAGAAAGCAAGACTCAACAAATACCGCCAACTATTTTAATCACATTCTCTAATGCCATGCAACAAAATCAGAAACCAGGGTGGGGACCGGGCATAAATTCGAAAAATCTCCGCTTTCTGCTCCATTTCTCTGTACAGAGAGAAGTCCATTCTCCTACTGACTTAAAATTAACATTGTACATGTATAGAAAGAGACCTGATGCAAGAAAGAGTAAACATTTATATAAAACATACAATGAGAGTACATTTAAAAAATCAAAGATACAGCGACCAGCCTTATGAAGAAAACAACTCATGGGCCCTTATGTATCCCCAAGTAGTGACACAAACACTAGAGAGACAAAGAGCTCCTAGGAAGAAGGGGACTCTCCAAACAACCAAGTAGTTGATATTCATATGTAGGTTACAATTTTCATTTTCTTTCTTTAAAATTTTATTTATTTTTTTAATTCTCATTTTTCTTAACCTAAGACACTGTATGCACTGTTTTTCCAAGACAACTACTTAGTTATGAATAGTTTTGTTTTGTTTTTCCTTATCAGTATGCTCTTAAAAGAGAGCCCAGGCCTAAAGCCAAACCAGTATGTTATGTATGCTGTCAGACCCTTTGTCCATCACTGGCAGTTCAGATGATCAAGATTCATTACCAGGGTACACTTTCCTGTCCAAACGTGAATTATGAAAAAGATCTTTGTTCCTAGGGGCAGCTGTTCATGCAGCATTAAGACTATTCAATTATCAAGATAAGAAAACGAAGATTGGACAGGGATTTAGCTCAATGGCACAGTGTCTGCCTGGCAAGCACGAGATCATGAGTTTGATCTATGATAACAACAACCAAAAAGACCCCCACACAGATCAACCTCTAAAATAATCACTTTTCACAGTGCTTGCAAACATTTAACAAGACAAGGAAGGACAAGGATGAAAAAGATTCCCTTAACTAAAACTAGAAATCTAATGAAAAGTTAGAAGGAACTCTTTCAATGTACTTAAATACTCTATGGAATATATTTTTCCTTTAGTTACATATGATTTCCCAAATAGTATTCTGTTTAAATGTCTCTTATACAATATTAAAACTGAATTATCAACTGCATGTCTAATTTTTCCAAGTGGTTAACATCAAGACAATAGTAAGTATCACTCAGATCCTGCCTGTGGTACCTTTACTTGTTCAGATCCATGAAGTCTATGACTATACATCATGGTACTATTGCCGTGACAAAACACCTGACACCCAAAGTTAACAGGTGAAAGGTTTATTTATTTTTAACCTCCATAATCTATGGAGGTTTCAGTCCATAACTGACTGGCTCCAGGGCAAGGTAGCACAAGGCAGAGGGCAACTGTTTATTGTAGAAGACAGCAAAAAAGTAATGAGAAAAAGATACACTTAACAAACAGCCTCTTACTCTCCCTTACATTGCACCCAATCTATGGTGATTAAGGAGGTGTACATCCAATCAGCAGACTGATCTAGCAATCACCCACCTTAACTCCACAACCCTTAATCCCAGCACTGCACTACGAATCAGTCACATACTCTAGATTCAGCCACCTCTGAAGAAAACGCTAACTGCAAGAGACTTTAGAGGGACAGCTAGACCAAAACCATAACAACACATAAAATGAAATTCTTACATCATTTATGTATCAAAATGAAACTTTCTTTTACACACTATGGCCCAATGTGGCATATAAAATGAGGAAGAGGAGGAGGTCTAATTTCATGAGAAAGTACAAGAATTTAGTCTATAATTAAAATACTACTATTAATTTTTTTTTTTTTGTACCAGGGATCGAACTTACAACCTCGTGCTCGTTAGGCAGGGGCTTATGCTGCTGATCTAAACTCCTGGTCCACTACTATTAATTTTTAAAAACGGAGTTGAGAGTCTTTAATTATTTCCTTGTTTCTGCTTGTATGAAGTTATCCAGAATTCTCACAGATAATCTTGTGACCGAAAACTCTGAGAAAAACACCCAGATTTTCTTGTGTCAGTCTCACTAAATGTGATTTCTATAGATGAGGAGGTAAATGCACTAACAGATAAAGGCTGTGCGCCAGGAACAGAAACAGATGACCCCTCCTGTTTGAGAGTTAAGAGTATATCTGGCAAACTCAGGAAGCCAGGTTTGAAGTTGTTGGCACTATCTGTTCGAGATCTGTAGATGACAACCAGATGCCAGCCGCTCCTGGCATGTAGGCTGGGAGCCAAGAAGAGCCAAGGTTCCACACCCCCAACACCATACGTGAGTAGCTGATCCAGAGAAATGTAGGCTAAGGTGATAGCTATTGAACTGAAATACAATTTAATGCTTGTAGTGTTTAGTGTTTCATTGACTTTGTAGGCCTAAAGCTGGTAATATGATCATCTTTTTAGAGGATAATAATACATAGGATAGCATGTATGGGGGATCTCTTTCTAAAGATGGTGGCCATTGTTAATTCCCTACTGTCTTGTTTTAAAGTCCTATATCATTTTCACTGTTTCACTGTTTATTACATCTGATGGAAGGGGTAGCTATTTCAAAGATAACAAAATATATTATGGTAGCTATTCTGGATTTACTATTATCTTGTTTTGAAGTCCTGCATTGTGTTCACTGCTTTATTTTTATTGTTCTGTTTTGTTTGATTTTCCTATGTCTGATGCAATGGGTAGTTATTTTGAAGCCTATAAGAGGCATTATAGTAGCCATTGTTGAGTTCCTATTATTTTATTTTGAAATCCTGTATCACACTTTTTGATTGGCTTTATTCTGTTTTATTTTACTTGGTTTTATTTTCTTTAAAATATCTGGCCGTGAGACATATGAATTACAGCTCTGTCACAAACACGTTAAACAAGTAGTTCACTGCTTTTTATTCTTCTTCCATCTCAGGCCCCTTCTCTTTTCAGAGGGGGTAAGGTGCAAAATCAAACTGCAACTGAAATGGTCTGGCAAAGTAAAATACCCATCTCTGATTCTCTCAACCCTCATCACACAAAGCAAAAGTAAAAGTGGAAATTCACAAAAAGAAGGCAGTCTGCAGAATAGGATATCAAGAAAAAGCAGAAATTCAGAGAACATCCTTTTCTATTAAAGTCAAGTTTAACAGTTGCTTCCTATATCTCCACTCACCTAATTAGCCAGCACTTGGCGCCGTGCATGGTCTCTGTGCCGGGATTAAAGGAAGAGCTCTCATTGGGCTAGGAGAGGCTGCACAGCCCTGCAGGGAGCCTATTTTTGCTACAAGACAAGAACCAGAACAGTTCCTGAAGCCCCACCATAAGTACTTTTAAACACAGAGATTTGAACTACTTTGAAGATAACAATATACAATATATTAACTATTGCTACTCTCCTATTACTTTGTTTTGAAATTCTGTATCACTGTTTTTCTTCTTTTTCTCATTTAAAAAAAATCTCAAGAGGACTAAGGAGCTTGCTCATAGTAGAGCACTTGCCCAGTATACACCAGGCTTTTTGTTTGATCCCCCACATAGTAAAAACAAATGAACAAACAAACCCCAAAAACCCTACACATCAGAAATTCTTCTCCTTAAGGAATTTGGGTTGCATATCCTGAAGGAGAAAGGAAGGCAAAAAGCAGCAACTAGTCAAGGCTGGCTGTAGTTATGGTTTTCAAATCTCTGAGAACAGAGAATTCCACACACAAATCAGCACTCCTAGAGGAATCACAGGGCTAGCTCCCATGAGCCTCTGGACACACTTCTTATGTGTATCCCTGTTTAAAGATGGTTTATTTAACATATATATCACCAATCACATATATAACACTGAGCTCACAGCCAACAGCACCCGAATGAAGCCTGACCAGAGGTAATCTAACACGTATATTTTCTCCTAAGGCAAACAACAATCTTTTCTCATTTAGGAACTTTAAACAGCACTCTCAATGCCATGCTTTAAGGCCATTTGAAGCAACAAAGTCACCAATAAGAGTATGAAAAATAAAAAAAAAAAATTAAGAAGTGGAAAAAAAAATCTGTTTAGTGTTTGAGAGCTCAAATAAAAAGGCAGAGCATTAAGTGGTCCAGCCTCAGCAAGGCCGGCTACAACTCAAAGTTCTCCCACTGTGAATATACCTGGGAATGAGCATGATCTAAAAGAAGGATTATAACATCCAACTTACTAGATGTCAGATATGTTGAGTTCATATTCCCCAAAACAAAAAAAAAAATGAATTCTAAGAAAATGGAAGTTAAGAGTAGGAAATTTTTATTGGGAGAGAGAGCTCCTCAGAGACAGAAGGGGGCATGAGTGCACTGCCAAAGAGCCCTCTTCTCAAGTTTTATAGAGCAATATCATCAGGATGTACAAAATCAAGAGGAGGGTACAACATGGGATAAAACTAGAATCAACCATAAGATTAAGGTATAGCTGCTTCGGTAATGTTGACTCAATGGGGAAGCAAGTCACATAGAAATATGAGTCAGGAGGTCCTGGTCTCCCATGCAGATGACTGACACCTATCTAGACTTTATTGGGCCATGTAATACCAATTGTAGTATATTGCTTATCCCTCAGGGAAGTCTGTAGGTCTAGCCATTTCATCTTTATCTTCAGGCTTGGCCTTTAATAAATGTACCTCCAGCTATAGTTGTATTATGTTCTTATCTTCTGCACCTGTTCAAGGGCCTAGCCCTGTCTGACCACATGTAATATTTCTACCTAAATTAACAGTCTATGAGTAATGATTTGAGGTTACAAAAAGTTTTAACAAGTAGGTGAATTCACAAGTACAGAACCTGTGAATAATAAGGACTGACTGTGCTTTATTAACATCAAGCCCACACAAGTTGCTGAAGCTAAGTCTGACAATAAATCCACAGAGCTAATGAGTCAACCTTAGCTGACAGCAAACTTGTTTGCATCTATAGCACCCTCATATTACTTCTGAGTCTTCCCCAAAACTAACTTCCACACCAGGCAGTGGCCTACCTACCAGTTCACTGGGAACCAAGAGGCTCCAAAGGAGATCCCTGACTGCACTTACAAAAGATTAATTAAAACAGCAACTCAGCTGCAGGAAGTCATAGGAAAGAAAAGGAGATACAACTAACATCACTTTGGCTGACATTTGGTCTTTTGGACTGAGATTCAGGGGTGCCCTTCACCCTAGTACAAAGGTGGCCCTGAGCAAAAAATGAAGAAAGGCCCCAGACTTCACAATTTCCAGATTATGAAGGCTTGGCCTCCATTCCAGGTTGCCTGTCTGCTGCCTGCTACAGGAGACATACACTGTTGAATCCCAATGCTAAAGAGTACCCCATTACTGAATGTGAATTAGCATATTAAGTTTTACTTGACTTTGGAAAGGTAGACTGGTTGCCAGCACAACAGCACCATCTTCTGGTTGGTAAAATGAAATTAGGACACAAAAAATCATGTTTGGAATAACAATGCATTTCAGGTTTTGTAACACAGAATAACAGCAACTAAAGGTCTTAGTTTCTGCAAAACCTGAATAATGTCAGTAGCAATAAAACCTCTCACAGACCAATCACGAAATAGAGCAATTTTAACTGTAGATCACTACTGGTTTCCACTCTACTTTGGGCAAGACTGACCACTCCATACCTCTCGGTCCTGCCGCGCCAGTTCTACTTACAAAGAGAATTCCTCACCACATCTCTGGAGCCATACCCACACTTGGATGTGCAAAATGGCTCTTTCCTATCCACATACAAAACCCAAATTTGAAAGGGGCAGAGATGGAGCATGGGTCTCTGGCCCTTTTACCCTTATCTCCCCACCTTGTCTCTCCTAGGCCTGTCAGCATAGGAAGAGCCACCCATTTACAGCTGAGGACAGACACAGGGAACTCCTGAGGGCTCACCATTCCCTATGTTCCTTCAAAGTATAAGGTTCCGTCTGTGTGGATGTACTGAGAATGGGCTTGAGGTCGCAAAGGGGCACCCTACTACAGCCTTGTTACCGCCTATGAGAATAGAGACCAGAACACCCCAGAAGCTAGTTCCCAGGCTGGTCCTCTTCAATGCAGTGGCCCATTTACTTGTCCAGAGGCCCTTGGGGGTCAGGTTCCCCATTATTGTGCCCTTCAATTAACCTCTCATCTCCTTCCTGCAGGGAGTATCACGCAAACGGGTAAAGAGAGGGGCTAGGTGCTCCCACTGCAAAATTCCTCTTTTGGTGAGAAGCATGGAAGTCCTCTCCTGGCACATAGGAACGTAAGGTGAAGGAATGAGCATTACTCTCAGACACTGCCCATGAATCCTGGGCAGAGCCACTCTCTCTCCTTCCTTTCTTTGAGTGTGCATATGTGCACGCACATATGTATTCACTGAAGATGGGACTGAACCCAGGGCCTCACACTGAGCTATACCCAACCTTTATTTTAATATTTAATTTTGAGACACAGTCCCCCTAAATTACCTATGTGACCTCAAATTTCTAATCCTTCTGACTCAAGTCTCCTGAGTGGCCAGGACTACAGGTTTACTCTACCATGCCTGTTCTCACTGATTATTTTCTAATTTATTTCTTTTTTTAAAATGCCAGTTATTACTCACTCAAATGGGTTCATAAGCCCTTGAGAGAATGTGATCCTCAGTTTGAAAATTTGGCAGCAAATACCCACTGTCATTTCCCGCTCTGCGCTCTGCTACCACATAACTGCCCTCTCACAAGGAGCACATCAAGGCCTCTTCTCAAAACCTTCCACAAACAAACCTGTGCCCAGCAACTCTCCAGACACCGATGTTAAATAACGACTGAGATGTGATCCCCTCTTCAAGAATGTGTGTCTCCTAAGTGGACACATTTACATTAGCTTAGGCATTTCTTCCTCCTCTAAAGGCAGAAACACTTGCCATCTGTATTCACCCACTTATTCATTTGTCTCCACCTTCTCTTGCTCCAGCACCATATGTGTAAACAACATTTAAATATTTGTCAAAAGATGAATCCATCAAGTAGGGTTTCCGATTTTGCAATCTTGTTTGTCAAAGGCTAATTTTCCTAAACTCTAAATTAGGAACTGAACTGCACTGTCACTAATTCTTGGAAGCAATGGTCCATTTATTACTCTGTGTAGCATTTATAGATGTGGCAGTTTCCAGATAAATTCAATTTCGTCTCAGTCTCTTAAAAAAGCTTATGAACTAGAGTAAATAAAAAGACCAACCTTCTAGACATTTAAAAATAAACAGAGCTGGCTCAAATATATCCATCTACTTCATCTATTTTTGACTGCAATGGTACATCCTTCACATGTAGAAAAGAGTGCTTGCCTCTGGGGTGCCACCTCAAGCAGCCAGGGGCTTTCTAAGGGCAACTACTCATTTTATCAGTCTGGTACCCAATACGTGGAAATCCTTTTGAATGCCTCAGACTTTAAAAGAAAATGTTTTAATGAACATTTTAAAACTTGCTTTAATAAAAAAGAAACAATCCAAATCACATGGCAATAAGGCTTGTATAACAGAGGAGATTTAAATTCTTTTTAATACTGGGGATTGAACCCCAGGTCTTGCACATATTTGGCAACTACCACTGAGCTCCATCCTCTCATTCCCAGTCACCAGTGAAACGTTTCTGCCCTAGTATACATTACTGTACAATTATGGCAGTGGTCTAACGTGGCTGAAGGCCAAAGTGGGAATGTTTACTCCTTCCTCCTTCTTCTTCGTCCCTAATTACAACTCCCTTTCCTGTTTGCATACAAAGAAAATTCCTCACACACCATCAATGTCTGCCCCATGTGCCACTTCAGATCAGAAGTCATATTACCCTGTATCTGGTCAAAGGAGACAGCCCAGAAGCCATGGGTTGTGCTCCTTTCCACGTCCTCAATTAACCATCTTTTTTGTACTTTTTGCTTCTCTATTGCACCAAAAAACTCTAACAACAAGCACCCCTTTCCCTTTTTTCAACAGGGTTTCACTATGTAGTTCAGGCGGGCTTTGAATTCACTTTATGCTAGGTTCAACTCACAGTAATTCTCCTGCCTCAGCCTCTAGAATGCTGGGATTACAAGGGTGTGCCATCATGCCCAGAAGCCCTTATTAACATTTTTGAGACAGGGACTTATTAAATTGTCCAAGCTGGCCTGAATTTGCAATCCTGTCTTGGACTTCTGAGTACCACACCTGATTCACATTCCTAATTTTAACATACAAAATCTATGCGTCCATCTTTTAATTTTCCCTCCTGCCATTTTACCACACATACCCTTTGCTCCAGTCATACAAAAGACATGATGG